AAAGTGAATCATAGGTTGAGACCACGTATGGATCCACACAGCGTGGCCTGACCCCCTGGCCTAATCAGTCTCTCCCATCCTCCCCGATAGACCAGCGTAAGGCACCCCTAGATGCGGCAGTCACTCATCACCAGTAAACACTTGCATGGATAAAACAGGACTTTAAAAAGCATAACTGGCTAGCCCATTGTCATCCTCCAACATATTAACAGTAATTCCTTAATATTCATAAACATCCAGCTGTTACCTATTTTCCCTGATTGTCTTATCATTTTTTTTTACACTTTGTTCAAATACACATTTAAATAAAATCCATTTGCTGGGCATGGTGGCACATGTCTGTAATCCCAGAAATTGGGAGGATGAGGCAGGAGGATCACTGAGTTTAAGACCAGCAAGAACTGCACAGTGATCTCCTTTCAAGAAAATGAACAAACAAAAGGTCTACTTTAGGGCTGGCCAAATAGCTCAGTGAGTTAAAGCACCTGCAAGCAGGCACAGGGGCATGGGGTTCAATCCCCAGGCCTGCCATGCCAGCCCCACCCCCAGGCACACTGAGATAGTGTGGTGGCGGGCACCTGTAATCCCAGTTCTTGGGAGGCTACAGGCGAATCACTAGAGTCTGATCTAGTAATGAGACTCTGAACACCCTGTAGACCATTCCCTAAAATACAAAAAAAGGAGGCCCATTTTGTTTGCTTTGAGACAGGGTGTCACCAAATCTCTAAATTCCTCAGGGTAGGCTAGAACTCACAATCCTCCTCCAGGAGCTGGGATGACAGTAGAGATGCAGATGCACCTTTACTTTCATCCTCTGTGTAGAAAGATGGATTTAACTTGCTAGTACGTCCATAAGGACTTTGTCTTTCTGCTCATGAGGAGCACCAGCCTGCGGTTTCATTTTTCTGTCCCTGCCTGGTGAGGTTACAGTGGCCTCTGAAAACTAGCTGTGAAATGTTCCCACCTCCTCTGGTTTCTGGAAGAACTAGGGTAGAAACAGTGTTATGTGTTCCTTAAAGGCTTCTGGATCAATTCTATTCTATTTTATTTTTGTGGCCTGCAGTGCTGGGGATAAGACCCAGAGCCTGGCTCATGCTAGGCAAGTGCTAACCACCAAGCCACACTCCATCCCTTTTTATCTTATTTTGACATATTGTCTAGGCTGGCCTCCAACTGGAGATTCCACAGCCTCAGCCTCCCCAGGAGCCGGGATGACAGGTGTGTGCCGTGGTGTCTGGTTGGCTTTTGGGGGGCACCTTGCCTCCAGACCCCCTGGATGGCCCTGTTCCCTGCCTGTCCCTGCTGGTCATCTGTGGCCACAGGGCCTTGCTCCTGAGAGAATCCTGCCCCCTGCTGGCTGGAGTGAGCCACACTGGCCAGGCCCAGGGCAGGGGAGCGGTGGGCAGGCTGCTGGCTGCTGGGACCTGAACAGTGTCGGTAACCTCAGGTGGGGGCCAGGATGGGCTGGCACTTAGCAGATGCAGACTCCCCATCCTGGGCTCACAAGGCTGATAGACTGCCAGGGAGGTGGGCACGGAGACAGCAGGCTCCGGGGAGACTGGAGTCAGTGGGCAGGATGGGGCGGGGGGTCCCAAAGCCCTCTTGGTACAGAGCTCTCCTGCTTTGTTGCTGTTGCAGTGCTACAGGGGGAACGCTGGGCCTTCACACTGAGCTACAGCCCCAGCTGTCATTATTTTTAATTTTGAGACAGGATCTTGATAAGTTACTAAGTTGTCCAGGCTGGGCCTGAACTTGCAACACTCCTGCCTCAGCCTCCCAGATTGCTAGAATGATAGGCTAGTGTCCCATACCTGGCTGGAAGCTGCCCCTCTACAAATCTTTTTACATTCTTATTTGAGCCCAGAAACCAGGTTCTTCTATCTCACCGACCAGGAAACTGAGGCTAGGGAGAGGGCAGCAGGGGGAGTCCCGGGCTACACCGTGCACTGCAGGTCCTTCCAAGGCCACCCCAGGGCTGGGACGCAGCCTCCCCTGGGCCAGGAGAGCGAGGAAGGGCCCTGCAGTGGGAGGCGAGCTGACCTCGGCCTCAGCTCTCTCTTCTGTCCCTTCCTCTCTCACTCTCCCTACCCCCAAGTGCCTCCCCATCCCGCCACTTTTTGCACCAAGAGGGCAGAGGTGGCAGGAGCCCTGGTGGCTAGGTTGGGGAAGGGTGCATGCTCATGGGATGTGCTGGGATAGCCCACCCACCTCTGCGCCAGTCCAGGCTGTGTGACCTTAGGAAGCTTGCTTGACCTCTCTGGGCCTCAACAGCCTTACCTGAAAATGAGGGTGATTATAAAGATCCCCCCAGCAGGTTTGGAGCACGTTTAGGGGAACAAAGCTATTAGGAGGCGGGCGGCTGGGTACGGAGGCAAAGCACTGAGTGTCAGCAATGTGAAGACGTGGGGCACCTGTGGGGGGGTGGTCCTGGGGGCCTCCCCTGGATCTGGGGTCACACTGAGCTCTGCCTACCTCGCCCTGTGCTCTTCAGGGACCTCTGTTCTTGTCTCTCACAGTGGGGCCTCCTCCAACAGGACTTGAGGCTACTTAGCAAGCACCCAGAAGCACTGGCCCATGGTGACAGTGGGGACATGTGGCAGGCTGGGCTCCAGGCACAGTGGCCGCAGTCCCCTCAAGGAGCTGGACAGCTGGCATGGGCTGCGGGTGAGAAGCTGAAAGGGAGAAACCCAGGCTGGGGCTAGGGGGTGACCTCCTGTTGTCATCAGCACGGTGTGGCCTGGGGGCCATGGCAGGCTGGGACCTACAGTGCCTGGAGGGCAGCAGGAGACGGAGGGGATCTGATGTCCACACGCGGGCGCCTCTGTGCCCTCGTTGTCCTCCCTGTCCCTTTCCCGGAGTCCCCACCCCCTTCCACCTTTCCTTGTTTAAATCTCCAGTTCCCTCTCCCTCTTTCTCTTCTCTGACTTCTTGTAAAATATTAAATATTCAATGTAATATTAAAGGTAAAACATTAAATATTAAGTTTCTACTTTTAAAATATTAAAACTCAGAACCGGATGACACTCTCTGTTGACCAGAATTTTTAATCCAGAGAGCCCAGATTCCTCTAGATCTTTCCCCTAGCGCCTTTTTTTTTTCCTTTTTGTGACAGTGTCTCACTATGTAGTTCAGGCTGGCGTTGAGCTCACTATGTAGCTCAGGCTGGTCTCAAACTCCCAACAATCCTCCTGCCTCAGCCTCCTGAGTGCTGGGATCACACGTGTGGGCCATCATGCCCTGATCTAGAGGAGTCTGGGCCCTCTGTGTTGCCTACCTAGGGCAAGGTCCTGGGTTCAAATCCCTTTCTGCAAAAAATATTCTTTATGCCGCTACATTTTGGGGAATTCTTAAAATTTATTTACTTATTTTTTTTTAAATTTTATTTATTTATTTTTTGTGTGTGGCCAGCTCAGCCCACCAGGGGGCACGGCTGGCTGGCATGTGGTGCTGGGGGATTGAACCGCATTCCCTGTGCTTTGCTAAGCTTGTTCTAAGTAGGTGCTTTAGACCACTGAGCCATCTCACCAGCTCCTTACTTATGTTTTGAGACAGGGTCTCATTATCTAATTCAGGCTAGGCCTGAACTATGTAGCCCAGGCTCGCCTCAAACTTACAATGATCCTCCTGCCTCAGCCTCCCGTGTCAGGGTTACTCTACCACTGAGCTACTTCTGGCTTCATGGTGCCCTCTTTGTTGTTTATATTGAGACAGGTCTTGCTATGGCACTGAGTTGCCCAGGCTGGGCTGAAACCTGTGATCCTCCTGCCTCAGCCTCTCAAGACTGCTTGGGTGACAGGCACACACCATAGTACTTGGCTCACATCAGGCCAGCGGAGGCAAAGCGAAGCAGGCGTGTCTCTGGGCTTGGGCACAGAGCTGCAGCCTGTAGGCCAGGGCGGTCGCAGGGTGAGCACTCTGTGCCTCGTCCTGAGCCTGAGCAGGAGCCGTTCAGAGAGGCGGAGACTCACCCTGGGCTCACAGCCGGTGCCGGGGGGAGACGGGCCGAGGGCTTGTGGCAGAGGGTGGCTCTGCCCTCACGGCTCGCTGCGGGAGGTGGAGCGGGTACAGTGCAGTCGGGGGGCGGTGGTGGCTGTTTCAAGGGCACAGGAATAAGCCTCATCTCTGTGGGAGAAGCTGGGTTCCCCTGCCGGCACGCTGTCTTCAAGAACTCCAGGGCCCCAGAGGTGGCAAGTTCCTGTTCTCTCACCGGGCTGCCCCAGCTGCTGCCATCCCAGGCCAGGGTGCAGACTCCACGCCTGGCTCCTCCGCTCTGGTTCTAGTCCCCCCACCAAAGAAGGGGCCTGGAGTGGGAGGCTTGAATGCCATGGCACTGGGCTGCCCTCCTGTAGGGCTGCCACCTCCACATATTAGCCCTCCAGCAAGGCCTGTGATGTGGAGGTGCGAGGCAGGGCCAGGCCAGATGGCAGAGGGTCAGGGACAGATGACGCCCCGGATCCTCGTGCTAAGCCTAAGCCCTAGGTTTCAGTTTCCCCAGGCCTGGGGCTGAGCTCCCTTCCCATCCAGTCTGCTGCCCATGTCCCCAGCTGTGAGATGTAGTCAATCCTGTGTTTCTGCCTGGACAACCCTCATGTCACCCCCAGCCCCTCTGCCCTGTTGGCCTCCCATGAGGGTTGTCTCACCTGCTTCTGTGGGCAGTGTCCTAAGGGCCGTGTAAGGAGCCAGCAAGGGCCATGGGAAGGCCTGGGCACACCAGGCAGACTGAGGACGCTGGGACCGGGCAGCATGGGGAGTGACACAGAGCTGGTTCTGGGGGACAGCATGTGTGGAGGTTGAGCTGGGCCTGCTGGGCGAAGTTCCCTCGGGATGACAGCCCCCAGCCTACCTGCCCCGTCCCCTGCACACCTGGGTCACCTTGTGACTCCTGTTCTCAGCTCAGATTGTGGTCAGTGTTGTATGAGTGAGGCAGGCTGAACTGAGCCTTGGGGAGACCTATGCTCCCTGGGGACTCAGCTGGGCAAGCACAAGGCGGGGTGCGAACGCTCTGGGTTTGCAGTTTTATTAAGAAAACAAAAATCCAACCTATACAAAAGGGTAGGGGCTGAGGCGCCGCTAGGCGTCCTGCTGCTGGATGAAGGGGTTGGGGATGGCCTCCATGCCGTCCTGCGGGCAGATGAGCACGACCGACGTGCCGCGGCACACCACGAGCCCCAGCTGCCGTGTGTCCTCCGTCAGCTTGTACTGGTCGTCTGGATCTGGGGGCAAGGAGGGTGAGTACAAGGCGGGCCTAAGGCCTCTGCTTCCTCTAAGGATGCTTTCTGCCTGGGGACTTGGGTGCCCTGGCTCCAGGACTCATCAGGGACACAGCAACCAAGCCAACCGGGTCTCTGGGGCCAGGGTCCCGGCACATACGGCAGAAATGACAGGAACCTGGACTCAAGGACTGAGACTCCAGGCTCCCTGACATGTGATGCGCACCTCACTGCCAGTGGCACAGTTCCGTGGTGAGGGGCAGTAAGCTGGAGCCAGGCTCTAGTGAGGTTACAGGTGATTAAATGTCTTGGTCATTGTCGCAAGGTATTGGGAACAGCCGAGGGCCAGGCAGCCGAGCTTGAAACTGAGCCCTGACATGGTTCAGGACCCAGCTCTGCCCAACTCCTACCCCTTCTAGGAGACACAGTGTTTCCAGGGCCTGGTGACCTGGGTGACACTAGAGCACAGAATTGCTGTACTGACCCTGTAAGAGGGGGGACAGTGGCCATCACTTTGGGGCCTAAGTGGCTTCTGTGTTTTCCCAGGGACCCTTGTGCTGGGAGAAGTGGCTGTCGCCGGGGCCGGGCTGACCTGGCATCCCAGGAACCAGGCAGAGCCAGCTGGAAGCACAGAGCCACTGCTGGGGTGGCACGCTGAGCCCTGAGCCCCAAGCCCCACACCCCGTGGTGCACTCAGCTGCTGAAATTTCTGGGATATCAGATCCTGTCCTAGCCACCAGGATGAGACCCAGGGACCAGAGCTTGCCTGCCCTCTAGCCTTGGGGCTCCCAAGTGCTCAGAGCAGCCAAGCTGGGAGCAGGGAGTATGGGCTGATGGCAGCAGCCAGGACTGGAGTGGGGCTGAGGTGGGAGAAGGAAGGGAGTCCTCAGGTAAGGGGCGGTGTGAACAAGGAGTGAAAGAGGGGCGCCAAGAAAGGCACCAAGAGGAGCCCCAAGTACAGCTCGCATGCTGCACACACCTCTCTGTAGCCACACTGGGCACACCCCAAGGGCCTCACCATGCCTGAAGATTGGTAAGAAAGCTGAGCATGGTGGCGCATGCCTGCCACCCCAGCACTCTGCGAGGTTGAGGCAGGAGGACTGCAAGCCCGAGTCCAGCCTGGACAACTCAGTGAGACCCTGTCTAAAATAAAAAGGCCCTGGGTTCTACACCTAGTGCAGGGTGGAAAGGTGACAGAGAGACCCCCCAGACAGGGCTGCAGCTCCTGAATCCTAAGGGATGCGAGCTCTGGCTGCATCAGTGGCCCAGGACCAGGGTCCAGGTGGGGGAGCCGACCCACCACTGTCATCTGACCACAGGCACCCCAATGTCCCTTGGAAGCAGCTGAGGGGGCTGGAGGGGGACAGGCGGGGTCCAGCTCACCTCGCATGTACTCGATGGTCCCATCTAGCACGAGGTTGAGCAGTGGGTCGAAGCCTTTCAGGATTCCACTGGCTTGGAGAAACCACCGGGAAGAGAAGGAAACGGAGAGGGGTGTGAGGTTAGCAGCCGTCCTCAGCACAGGGAACTGGAGGGGCCACGGGCTGGACTCCAGACATGGTCAGCAAACACGCTTTGCGGAGGCCTGACAGCCAGGGTACAGGGCTCATTGCTACGTGGCTGGCCTTGCTGGTGTGGAGGCAGACGTGGAGGATGCGTCAGTGCACGACACGCTGTATGCCAGCAAAGTTTCACGCGTGGACACTGGTGTGTTAACATTGACGTGTGCTCTTTAGGCTTCTCCGATGACTCAGACATTGTAAAGGAAAAAAAATGTAATGTGAAAACCAAGCTGGGCATTTTGGTGCACACCTGTAACCCCAACACTTGGGAGGCCGAGGCAGGAGGATCACTGAGAGTTCAGGGCTAGCCTGGGTTACGTAGTGAGACCCTGTCTCAGAAAACCAATGGAAAAAACTAAATGAAAAAATGGTAAAAACCACTCTCACGAGTTGTTCCAAAGCAGGCCGCAGTGTCCAGAGGCTGGAATGCTGGGTGACCGTAGGGAGGGAGGCGGGGACAGGAGAGGGTGGTGATGGGTACCAAGTCACAGCTGCGAGCTCAGAGGCCCTGCAGCGGCTCAGCAGGATGACCATGGGAGACAAAGACTTATTGTGTTCTTCAGGACAGCTGGCAGATGTGCAACGTCCCCTCTCAGAGGACTGTAGAAGGGTGTGTTGGCAACATGCTCGTTACCTCCGTCTGCTCACTACGTGCTGTACGTAAGATCATGATGGGTCAAGGACCGCGGACCCAGAACTAAGACAAGGATCACACGTCCATTAAAAACAATCTTAAATCCTTTTTTTTTTTGCGGTACCAGGCATTGAACTCAGGACCCTGCACTTGCCAGGCAGGTGCTTATGCCACTAAGCTATATCCTTGGCCCACAAAACAATCTAAAGACGCATGAAAAGCTAACACCCGACACAGGGAGGAGGGACTTTGAGGATGCCGTGCTGTGAGAGACACCAGACACACAGGCCCCACAGCGTAGGCTCTGCGGACAGGCGATGCCCAGGACAGGTGACTCCAGACACGGTAAGTGGACTAGGGGGTGCCTGGGCTGGGGAGGGGCTGGGACTTAGTGCAGATGGTTTCAATTTGAGAGATGAGAGTGTTCTGGACATGGACGGTGGGGAGGTCTGCCACTGGGAGGTGACCTCACTTAACGCTGTGCAATGGTAGGTTTAGGGCAGGGCATTGTGACGCATGCCTCTAATCCTAGCACTTGGGAGGCTGAGGCAGGAGGATCACTGAGAGTTCGAGAACAGCTTGGGTTACAAAGTGAACTCAAGGCCAGCCTGAGCTGCACAGTAAGTCCCTGTCTCAAAAAGATAAAAACAAAACAAACAACCAACACACAAAATCAAGACTAAAAAACCAACCAAACGAACAAACATCCCCCCAAAAACCTATTAATTTTTGACCGGGCATGGTGGCGTGCACCTATAATCCCAGCTCATGGGAGGCTGTAAACAGGCGGATCACTACCAGTCCAATCTAGTACTGAGACCCTGAACACTCTGTATGTAGACCCTTCCCTAAAATACAAAAACAAACAAAAACCCTATTAATTTTATGTTGGGTAAATTTCACTTTGATTACAAAGCAGCTGGGGGCTGGGGGTGCAGCTCAGCAGCAGAACACTTGCCTGGGTGCCTGAGGCCCTAGGTGGGTTCTAGCCTGTGTGTGCAATAGCCAGGCATACCTGGCTCCAAGCACTAGGGTGTCTACTTCTGTGCCTGGGGCCACCTCTGCCTCATCCTCCTGAAAACCAGTGTCCAGGGCAGTCCCTGATGAACATGAGTCCTCAGTGGCTCTGTGAGAAATGCCCCTCACTGGTCACACAGAGCCCCTTGCACGCAGCCCTGTGCTCCCTCTCCCAGGCTCCTCTGCTCCTGGGGTCACGCTGTCCTAGGTTACAGCTCCTTGATTGAGGTGGGGCGAGGCCACAGCACTCCCAGGTCAGGCCTGGCCACCGCCTGCTGCAGATGTTCTACTGGCACACAGCCTCGCTCTTTAGTTTGTGCAGTGTGCTGTGATGGCAGAGCTGAGGACACAGGGACTACGCAGGCCTGAACACATTTGCCACAGCTGGTTCCTTTCTTTTACCCCCAGGCCTGGACTTCCTGCCTGCCTACACCTGGCTGTGGGTCCCTCTCAGGTCTGTGTCCCATGTACTCCCAGATGGTGTCAAGTGCAGTACCACTTTGGCCTGGCCTGGCCATGGCCACAAGCATCTACAAGAGGGTCAAGCACACTGCAGAAGCCTGGCCTGAGTGCGGGTGTCGCTCCCAAGCCTTGTGCCAGTGACAAGCTTTTCCTGATGAGAGGTTCTGTGTTAATCTAAGGGAGGTGATGGCTGGGTACAGTGGCACACAGTGGTCACTCTAGGCTCAGGCAGGAAGATCCCAAGTTTGGGCACTGCTTAGGCAACTTAGTGAGACCTTGTTTCAAAATAAAAAAAAACAGAAAACAAAAAGCGCTGGGAATGGAGCTCAATGTGAAGGGCTTGGGTTCCATTTCCACCCCAGTGCCCCCAAACAAAGTGTGCTTGATTCTCTCCAGCACAGCAGCTAAAGGGCATGTGCAAAGGGCCCGAGACAGGAGTGACTGTCCCCCGCCAGCATAGCCGGAAGAGCCCGGCCCTGCAGATGTAAGGAACAGCCCTACCAGGAGCCATGTCAGGGTGGGAGCCTCAAATGATGCCCCCCATTACAGCCTTGGGGGAACCTGAGCCCATGGCACCAGCCATTCGCCTAGATTCTGTAAGTAACAAGTTGGTGTCATTTAACCTGCTACAGGGGCAGACATTTGCTGTGCAGGGTACAAAACAAACACAAGCTCCCTGAAGAGCAGGAATCATACCTTGTTCCACATCCTACAGTTGAGCATTTAGCTACTGCTTCTGAGCCTCAGTTTCCTGGTTCGTCATATGGCAGTCACTCTGCCTGCTCTCTGGTGTGTGGAAAAGCAGGGTTCTAACCCTTGTGGTCTGGTGCCAGAACCAGGACTGCTGTAGGCCGCTGTTCTTACCATAAGCCCACCCGCCCTGAGAGCCGCCCTCGCGTTAAGATTCCAGGAAGCAGGACACAGCCCTTAAGCATCATATTAAGGAGCACGAAACTTGCCAAAGGCAACAGGTGCTGTTGGGAACCTCAGGTACCATCATGCGTGTGGCAGTCGAGCTCAACGCCTCACTTAGAAGTTAAGAAGGTTTCAACTATACCCCAGAACACCAGAAAGCCATGCAGTTTATAAACAGGAGGAAGGATATATATTTTTTAGTATTGGGGACTGAACCCAGGATCTTTGTATTACATCTCAATTACATCCCAGTCCTTTATTATTTTGAGACAAAGTCTCATTAAGTTGCTAATTTGCCCAGGCTGGGCTCAAACTAGTGATCCTCCTGCCTCAAGTCTCTCAGAATGCTGGAATGACAGGCCCAGCTAAGGGGACTCTATGGGGGATCCTGCGCCCCAGCAGGCACTGAGAAATGCCTGGGGACACAGCACTGTCATGACTGGAGGTGGTTTCTGGGTGGAGGCCAGGGATGCTGCTTAGCACTCTGCAGTGTCCATGATGCCCCATCCCAGTGAACCCACAGTGCCAGGGGAGACCCAATGGAAAGGAAGTTGAGTCGGGTGTGGCAGAGCACACCTGTAATCCCAGCACTTGAGAGGCTGAGAGGTTCACAACGAGTTTGAGGCCAGCTTGGGCTACACGGTGAGACTCTGTGTCAAAAAATACAAAACAAAACAGGTCCAGAGATATAGCTCAGTGGTATGGTGCCTGCCTGGCAAGCACAAGGTCCTGATTTAGATTCCTGGTATCATACACACACACACACACACACACTCTCTCTCTCTCTCTCTCTCTCTCTCACTCTAATGTAAAGGAAGCAAGAAATCAGTGTGGACCTGGGGCAGACCCAGGCTCGAGCAGCTGCAGAGACAGGTCAGCTCTCTTCCGGGTTACATTTGGTCGCCTCTCTTTGCCTCAACTTCCCCATTTGAAATACAGGCAGACCACTTCCCACTTCGGAGTGATACTGGGAGGAGGGCACAAGGTGGCTCCTGTTGAGCACCTAAAACACCGAAGCTCTGCTCGGTCTCTCCCTCACCTACTTATTTCATTTGCATCTTGAAGAGAGGGCGCCTCACCTTCACGGCCTCCCTGGAACTTCACCCGGATCGTCTTGTCTATGTATTTGGACAGGTCCAAGATGCTCTCCTTCTTCTTTTTCTCTTTGTCCTGTGGGAAAGCAGAACACGTGAAATGCGGAGCGCGGCCCATCCCTGGCTCCGTGTTCTGCGGCTACCAGGGCTCCCGGGTCCGCAGTTCCCTGCTCTCCACGTCTGCAGCCCGTCTCCTTGGCCTGCTGCCCCTCTTCTCCCTGGCACACAGCCTCCGCCTCCGCGGCCACACGTCCTCCTGCTCCCCGTGTCTGCAGCACCGCACCGCCCCGGTCCACGGGGCCCCTTCTCCCTGGTCTGCTGCTTCCTGTCCCCTAGACGTGTGCCCCGCTCTGTAGTCCTCTACCTTGGCATTCCCCTACCTCCCCCGAGTCTGCGGTTCCCGGGCTCCCAGGTCTCCCCGCCTCGTAGCCATCTGGCCCGCGCGTCCCTCTGCCCCGAGCCCCCCGCCGCTGCCTCAGCCCCGCGCCCCG